ACTAATCAAGATCTATATCAACTAAGAGTTGACATGGAAGATTTTGATGGACAAAAACGTTTTGCTCAATATTATAGTTTTCGAGTGTCAGATGAACAAGACAAATATCGACTGTCACATGGATCGTATACCAAAGGTGATGCAGGAGATTCACTGACTCGGCAAAATGGTATGCAGTTTTCAACCAAAGATCAAGATAATGATCGATATGTTGGTTCATGTGCTCAGTCATACAATGGAGCATGGTGGTATAGTGTTTGTCTCGATTCAAATTTGAATGGTGGATATTTACGTGGGAACCATCCAAATATTGAAGGCACAGGAGTGAACTGGGTTACATTCAGAGGTGTTTATTATTCATTAAAGACATCAGAGATGAAAATTCGTCCTGTATGGTTCAAACCTTGAATTTTCTCGTTGTATTTCTCTGATGTTCATGAACTCTAGCACTACTGTCATTACATATATACATTGTTTGTGCTTTTTTTTCAATTAAACTGAATATGCTTAAGTGAAAGTGTATAGATGTATCTACTAACGTTTAGATGCCGTTTACAACTTTTCACACATAAGTTGTATGTGAGTTCAGCCGGACCTACCTTTAAATTAGTATAGAAAAACGGAAGTTTCACCCCCAGTAATGCTGAATATCTTTAGAGTGGGTAGCAGTGTGGATACTATTTTCACCTAGCACTCACACTCAACAATTTTCTGCCAAACTAGAAGTCTCCAAAACGTTTCTAAGCTAAAGAGATTTAAAAGATGCGACCGATATAGAAAAAAGAGCACTTTACAAATGTGGATGATGTTTTCATGGAACAGTAATATTAGTCGAAACTAAATATTTCAAATACATGCTTTTCAATAAAGTATATACGTTTTTAAGTATCTGTTTCAGTTGTATTGATCTCGGACAAATCTATCATTGTTCAACAGTGTATATTAAATACAGAGAAAGGTAGTAGTACGAATATTTTGTCCTGAATAGTGTTAAATGCTTAACAAGTTTAGTTTCATTATTCGGTCGAAAAATTATTCATGGTTAATAAATTTATGTTAGTCACTGAATCGTTTTTACTTTGCATTATTTTCATAATTCTCTTTTTGCTCTTGAATATTCTTAATGGTAAACATCACTATTAATGAATAAACGTTTTTGTGTAGCCTATCGATCAGTCATACATATATTATTAATAAAAAAACGCATCAATCTTCGGTCTAACTATAATATAATTGACTTGAAGGATAAGAAATTATTGCTTAATTGAAATTCTTTAGAGAAATTAATAATAAAAAAAGACATTAAACTCTTCTATTGAATACTTGGCATAATCAAACAATAATAATTCATGTTCGATGAAATAAATCTTTTTTTAACTTTTTGAGCAAGAAAAGAATAATTTGAAACAGCATTTTAATACAAGCTTTTATACATTGGGGAATCAAAAGTTTTGGTACAAAATGTTTGCTCATTTTCGACCTACTTAAAGATATTTCAGACTAGTCGAAAACTACGGATTAGAAGCAGCATTTTGTGCACTTTTCAAACATGAGCTTAGAAGTTTTTGTTCAAGAATAGTGAGGAAATCTTCGAAAGATCGCGAAAACGTGTTTGACCTGGAAATCTTTTCAGAATTTTTTTATTTTTTAAATATTGCATTTCGAAACTAAGAGTTGGAACCTTTATTACTCAATCAGCTGGTAGAGCAAAATTTGTCCTACAAAATGTACTATTTGAGTTTTTTTCGTGTAAAGGCAAGACTTCTCAATTTTTTCTATATCCTGATTCATAAGAAATCGACTTTTTGAATAGAAGGTATTTTTCATAAAAAGGAGCCTCTGAGAAAATACATATAACTTCACTTATGTTAAAGCTATAACTTAAAGGTGAGTGTGGGTAAGCATGTGAAAAAAGAAAAGATTAGTTCTCACGATTAATTTCGAACAGAAAGAGAACCCATATGGTTGACAGTCGCATCATTTACTTTGCAAGTAGTCAATGAATATCTGAGATAAGCACATTTTTTTATCTACGACCATATTTGTCCAAATAATGCTTCATCAATGACTTCTCGACAGAACTGCTTTCGGCGAATAACCATTGAAATAGTTATCATGCTCGTCTCTCTCTCTCTCTATAAATATATATATGTGTATATTCGATGAAAAGCAGTGCTTACTTCGCATTATTGATATTGAAGAGCAAAGATGACATTGAAACGCATATTACTTTTGATGATGGTGGTCGGAGTGGTAAATGGATATGATATTGATGCTGACTTAGCATGTGGTCTAATTTCAAACGATTCACTTCTCATTCAACTCAAATCAAATGATTACATGCATTTAAGTGATTATCCTGAGGATTGTGCTGCAATTTATCTCAATGCAATAGCATCCCAACAACACGCCGCTACTGGTGTCTATGAGATTTGGCCAAGACAAGGTTTGAACTCCTGCTTTTCTCATCTTTTCTATTGTTTGCATACTGATTACCATTTCCACTACTGAAAGGAGGGTTATCCATCGAGTGACTGCATCGAAAACAAGCAAATGTTCGTTCGTTCGCTCCTTTATTCATAATACTTACGCATACAGTCATTTGATTGCCAATTTCCTTACGGAAATATGAAAGGGAGGGGTACAATTTCACCCAATAGAGTACGAAGACGCAGAAAGTGAAACAGGAATGCTCAAAAGGAAGTGTGAATTCCATTACAACAGACAGCTTTCGGTAGGGGGCTTAATGACGTTTACGATACTTTACTTGTAGGTAAACCAATGAAAGTATGGTGTGACATGGATACAGATGGTGGTGGATGGACAGTTTTTCAGAAGCGAGGTGATTTCACTCCACAAGAAGACTTTTATCGAACATGGTTGGAATATAAGCGAGGTTTTGGAGATCTTCATCGACAATTTTGGCTCGGCAATGATCGTCTATCAATGTTGACTAATCAAGATCTATATCAACTAAGAGTTGACATGGAAGATTTTGATGGAGAAAAACGTTTTGCTCAGTATTATAGTTTCCGAACGTCAGATGAACAAGATCAATATCGGCTATCACTTGGATCGTACATCAAAGGTGATGCAGGAGATTCACTGGCTTATCATAATGGTATGCAGTTTTCAACCAAAGATCAAGATAATGATAAAAATCCTAAATCATGTGCTCAAGGACACAATGGAGCATGGTGGTATAATGCTTGTCATAATTCAAACTTGAATGGTGGATATTTACGTGGGGATCATCCGAATATTGAGGCCTCAGGAGTGAACTGGGTTACATTCAGAGGCTTTTATTATTCGTTAAAGACATCAGAGATGAAAATTCGTCCTGTTTGGTTCAAACCTTGATTTCTCTCGTTGTATCTCTCTGATATTCATGAACTCTTTAGCACCGCTGTCATTATATAAATACATTGTTTGTGCTTTTCTTCGATGAAACTGAATATGCTTGAGTGAGAATGTATACATTTTTTTGTTAACTCTCAGATACCGTTTACAGTTGTTCACACAAAAGCTGTATGTGGGTTCAACCGGACACAGCTATAAATTAGTATAGAAAAACGGAAGTTTCATTCTCAGTAATGCTGGATATCTTGAGGGTGGGTGTGGATACTATTTTCACCTAGCACTCACACTCAACAATTTCCTGTCAAACTAGAAGTCCTCGAAAAGTTTCTGGGCTAGAGAGATTTAAAAGATGCGACCGATATCGAAAAAAAGAGCATTTTACAAATCTGGATGATGTTTCCATGAAACAGTGATATTAGTCGAAAATAATATTTGAGATACATGTTTTTCATTAAAGTATATACTTTTTTGAGTATCTGTTTTCAGTTGTACTAGTCTCGGACAAATCTGTCATTGTTCAACAGTGTGTATTAAGTATGGGGAAAGATAGTAGTACGAATATTTTGTCCTGAATAGTGTTAAATGCTTAACAAATTTAGTTTCATTGTTCGATCGAAAAATTATTCATGGTTAATAAATAAACGTTATTGTATAACATCGATCAGTCATACATATATTATTAATAAAAAGACACATCAATCTTCGGTCTAACTATAATATAATTGACTAGAAGGATAAGAAACTATTGGTTAATTGAAAGTCATTAGAGAAATTAATAATAAAAAAAGACATTAAACTCTTCTATTGAATACTTGATATAATCAAATAATAATAATTCATGTTTAATGAAATAAATCTTTTTGTTTTTGAATTTATGAGCAGAAAAAGAATAATTTGAGATAGTATTCCAATACAAGCGTTTTTATAGATTAAAAAACTTTAATATGTATATATAAAAATTAACTTCAGATCGATTATGCAAAGATGATAAACAGAATTTTTGTAAATTATGATTTCTATATAAGAATATTTTATATATGAATGAATGATCACATCATTGCGAAATAAAGGTCATCAAGTATGATTTATGCGAACTTGAACTCTTAACTGTCATATGTGTTAATATGATTGAATAGTGTTAACGAATAGTATTTTCCTATTTTATACGAGATAGAACTAAATTTCATTATATTTTCTATTATACTTATACGGTGTCTCCCTCTTTCAGGAAAATACCCTATACAACCGTATTATTGGTTATATTATTTGAAGGAGGCGTGCTAGTTATATGGTTTTTATTTTCACATCTTATTATTGACGTACATAATCAAATCTTCGATTGTGTTCAAAAAAATCTATTAGAAAACATTTCCATGTATTTATCAGACGAAGTCATTTATGTGTGTTTACTTCTTATATCAATACCAATTGGCTTCCTGTTCAAAGATTCTCGTCATACAAATTTTAAGGCATGGTCATCAACATTAATCGGTTTTCTTTTTGCTTTAATTGTTTGTCGATGGGATATTTTCCATTCATTAATAACAACAGCTGTAACATGTCTTATATTAGCTAGCGTAACCGCAAGGTAATATTATTCTTTCATAGTAATTAATATTCTCGTTTCTATTTAAATATAGATATGTTCATATAGCAACATTTATATGGTGTTTTTCATATCTATTATTTTTTCGTACAATGGATTTTTTCTCAATGCGATTACCGGTATCACATAGTAATGCTATACAATTAATGTTAACACTTAAAGTATGTAAACTAACTAAAACATGAGTTCTCATTTAGAATGGGAAATTCTATATCATATCATAAATCTTTGTTATTGTTTTCGTTTTTTTTATAAATATTATTTGATATAGTTATTTTGGCAACATTATCTTTTCATAGCTTGTCGGTATTGCTTTTGAACGGCATGATTCATATATACGTCTGAAAACTATTCGAAAACAAACACATGCTGACGAAAGTGAAAAATTACAATTACAAGATAAATATTTATCTGTTAAAGTATCGACTATAAGCGTTTTTCAATATGCTTATTGTTATATTGGTCTACTCACTGGTAAATTTTATTTTCTACTTAAAAATTAATAATCGATTTGTGTAGGTCCCTATTATCGTTATCGAACCTATCATGATTGGCTTGAAATGAAACATGGCGTACATATTAATGGTTTAGCATTTATGAGAAAACGTGTTATATTTGGTTCAATTTATATATTGACTTATTTACTTTTATCAACAATTGTTTCATTTAATGTATGAAGTTTTAAAGTTTATATAGAATCAAAAATAGTCTTTATTTAGGATGCACTTGATGATAAATTTTATGATAATCCATTATGGTATCGATTACTTTATATGCCGTTAATCTTTACATTGTTTCGTTTTCGATTTTATTCAGCATGGTTATTAGCTGAATGTATGTGTATGTCAGCAGGTTTTGGTGCATATCCATTAGCTAGTAAACCTAAACCAGGTTTGGATATATATATCGATATATTGATATCGAAAGTGAAATTTTATCTGTTCATTTAGGTCAAGGTCCAACAGATCTTGTTGCTTTAAAACAAGCGTAAGTTTATAAATGAACTACTTTTGTATTTATAAATCAATAATTAAATTTTAGTTATGAACAAGCACCAAATACAATAGCTTATGATTTTGAAACAATTCATAATATCGATGAATGGAAATGTGAATCAGCATTGACAGTCAAAGAAGTACTTCGATATTGGAATATGAGTGTTCAATATTGGATGGCAACATGTGTTTATAAACGAATTAAATGGCGTCAAATTGCGTATGTAGAAAATCCTTCTTTTTGTTTTGCAAGACTTGACAATAGCTAGAGCAAAATTTCTTATTTGATTACTTTTATGAGAAAATAGTAAAACTTTTAAGAATATCTACTTTCATTAAACCTAACTAATAATATTTTTAGTCATCCAGCTACGATGTTTGTTTCTGCTTATTGGCATGGTATTCATTTGGGTTATTACATGGGAATGGTAACTACAACACCATGTATTCTTGCTGAAAATGTTATGGAAGCTGGTGTACGTCGTCGTATTCCACCAAATAGCCCATTTATTCGTGTATATGATTTCTGTTCATGGCTATTTCGTACACGAATGTTTGATTATATGTCAATTGGTTTTATTCTTAAATATTTCAAATATACATGGAAATATTGGTCAAGTGTATATTTTATTGGTCATATTATTACGTTTGCATTATATCTAATTGGTATAATTGCAGTACAATTACGACCAAAAGGAAAGAGAAAAGAGATTGTTAATAAAGATTTAGGTTTGGGTACACAACCAAAAGCATCCGAAGAACAGCATCAACGATTAGAAAAAGAACAACACGAACATAAAAAAGAACTTTAGTTTGTTTTTTTTCAACAAAAAAGATATTAAGAAAAAACAATCGTGTTTTTTTATTCTTTGTGTTTATCTTTAATTCTTTTTTCTTCGTTTTGAAATTTTTATTTTAGATCCGTTTTAGGAAAAAATAAAATAGTTTATTTTTTGTTATCAAACAAATAGATAGATAGTGATTTTTTGTCTAGGCTATGTTTAATCATGGCCGAAATGGATGTATTACAATCAAAGATTATCCAACAAAGTGAGTCTTTCTTTTTGGTTAACAAATATGGATTCTCTTGGTTGATTTACATATCATTAATGAAAATAGCATGCGACTATTTGATACATTGAAGTATTGTTGAATTGACTAATTCAATTTTCATATAATGATGATTACCAAAATACTGAATAAATTATATCATATTAAAATTCTTGTGAAATACAATGGCTATTTATAGAAGATATTCCACTCAATTTTCTAAAAGCTTTATTCGAAAGTTATAAGCATTCTATTATAACACTCGAGTGTAATGAGCATATGATTTCTGATGTATTTATAAGCAATAACATAAAAGCAAAGATGAAAACTTACATATTTCTGAATATATATGAATATTGTATTGAACAATGGTTAAAAAAGTAGCAGAAAAAATATAAAATAGAAGTCAAAACAGAACTAAATGAATATGAATATTTATTTGTGATTTCCTTCACAATATGTATTTCAGAAATAAATCTATCAGAATGAAATCCGACTTGAATTTTATTGTATAAACTATTCTTATTTCTTTGATATAGTCGAAGCTTATTTAACTGAAGATAATCTTAGAAATGATTATAAATTAGCTAAATATGAACATGAAAATGATGGTTGGATACCAATTGAAGATTTAAATCAATTTAATAAATTATCAACATATAAATATGATACAATTCTTAATGCAATAAATTCAAAACGATCAAATATTATTGAATTAAATTTATGTGAACCAATATGTATACGTCGTCGACGTCAACCTTTAATAGAATCAACATTTGAACAAAATCCATATTTATATCAAACTGTTGTTGTTAATGGTTTACCACGTGATGTTAAACATGAAGAATTAATGGAATTTTTCAATCGTTTTTATCCTGTTTATAAAATCAAAATGCTTTCATCAACACGAACAACAAATTCTTTTAGTGGAAAAATTCATGTGATATTTGAAAAAAGTCAAGATGCTTTCACATTTGTTCAAAGATCAGAATTTACATCAATTATATATGTAAATGATTATGTACTTCAATTATGTAATGGTTATACACTTGTCTGTAAATTATTAGTTGATTGTGATGATCGAGATCAACTTGATTTAATCAAACAAACAGAACAATTACGTTTTCGTAATGGTGAATATCAAAAAAAAGTATATTTTGCTAAATATAATGTTTATTTTTAGGACAATCATTTTCTCATCGACTTGCCAGTTGTCCACTACGTGTTTCTTTCAATACAAATGTTTCATTATCAAAAAATGATGATGGTAATGAATTAGTATTTATTTCATTCAGAGATGGG